CTAGAGTGAAAGCACCGCCAGCATTCAAAAGTGACCAAAACATCAGCCAGAAAGCATAGGAACTGAGAAGTGGTCTGTGGTCACCACCTGCAGAACCACTCCTTTATTGGGGGTGTCTTGCTAATTGCCTATAATTTCCACCTGTTGTCTATTCCATTTGCACAACAGCATGTGAAATTGATTGTCAATCAGTGTTGCTTCTTAAGTGGACAGTTTGATTTCACAGAAGTGTGATTGACTTGGAGTTACATTGTGTTGTTTAAGTGTTCCCTTTATTTTTTTGAGCAGTGTAGTTTTGATGCCTTCAGTGAGAATCTACAATGTAAATAGTCATGAAAATAAAGAAAACGCATTGAATGAGAAGGTGTGTCCAAACTTTTGGCCTGTACTGTATACTGATGTCTTTCATGTTTAATTTCTACAATTTGGCATCTATTCACCACCTCACCATCTGAGTCACCAATGTCCCCTGTCGCGAAAATGTTCCTACAGATTGGTCAGAGTTTCTGGACAGGTGCGCACATTCCCCCATCAAGTATGTTTTTTCAGATCACAACTTTAGTGTGGGAAATGGCGAATGCCTCTTTCAGACCTGATTTTGTGTGTAAGCAGTGTCTATAAATGAGACACCAGGACTGAAATCTTATGGAATATAACTTTATAAATATTTATTTATTTGTTTATTTGAATGGGACAGTGCACATTGATGAACATGTTAAAACATGTAAAGATGCCGGATTGTAGCTTGACGCTAATTTCCATCTGTAGTCCCATTAACATAAAAACAAATTAAGACAGTACATTATTTTACAGTAAGAAAAAAGGTGCAGTATCAATAAAACAAGCACTAACAGTTAAAAACACATTGAAAAACACAAACCATAATATACAGACAGACAGATAAATTGCAATACAGATTGACTGTGGGTGGAGAGCTAGCCCACAGGTAGGGAGACCATAAGAGTTTCGTTTTGAAGAGTAAAGTGCATAGGTGCTGGTTAAAGTGTCAAGTGCTAAAGTGCATGAGTGCCAGATGAAATTGCACAATGCCCTAAGGTGCCAGATGAAATTGCACAAAGCCCTAAAGTGCACATCAGTTTAAAGTGCCAGTTTGTATTGCACGAGGCCCAGTACACTCAGTTGCACATGCAGAAGCATGTAATTATTGCACTAAATGTGATACATAAATGTATTATGTAAACACTACTGATGAGAAAAAATCATACACAAAAGTATTGTGTAATTTTTGTATACATGTAACAGAAAAAGAAAGAAACTCTGATGATGACCCAACAATTGCATTGCATTACAGGTTACAGGTGGTCGCATGTTTGATTTTCTAGTAACCATGCCAAAAAAAAAAAAACAAATAAAATACAGTAATGTCAAAGAAATAGTAATGGAAAACAAAAGGGGTCTTTATTTTATTGGTATTGACATAAAGGTTACATATAGTGAGGCTCTATTTATTGGTAAAGTCTTAAGGGTCTGAGGAAAGATCAGGTTGGTGTTATTCCATGTTCTTCTTATCATAAAGAAATCCTATTGTCATGGTTATTTGTAGAATATGTTGGATTAATTGTGTCAACATCACAAAAACTTAAGTGGTGGCTACAAAACATTGCAAAACAGAGAGTACCTGCACACTGAAATCATAGATCCCTCTAATTTTCCAAGCAACATTGCGAAATTTCTTACTTTGTCTTTTTGAGGCCATGAGGAACAGTGACTGGTGACCCTTTGGTTTAGTTTCTGCATCTATTTGCTAACCTAAATGAACTGAGCTCAGTGTTAAAAACCAACACAGAGCACTCCAGCACTGTGGATAGCTAGCAATACAAGAGGAGGCTGGGCTCAGCTTCTGCCATCCTGGGGCAGGGGGGGCATGAAGTGAGTTCACATGGGTTTCAAGTAGACCCACATCTTTTCTCTGACATCAGACAGCAACCAAGGTACTCAGTATAAGTTGTGTCTTGTTTAGTAGCTGCTATAGATGTGAGGTTGTGGGTGAGGTGCTCCTGCTCCTTTTTTGATTGATTTGATCTATTCATTAGGGTCTGTAGAGTCGCTCTCACTTTGGCTCCTCCGCTGGGACCACTTTGCCCTTGGAGACCCTACCCTAACACAGGTCTCAGGATCAGAGGGACATGCAAACCCCTCCACCACATTAAGGTAGCAATTCTTGAAGAAGCCCTCGTTATCCCCAGTTTCCCTAATTATATGTATGTAACAATATGTAGCAACCCCACTTTTGTGATCTGCCATAAAAGGTGTTGTAAAATGTGTACTTATACTGCACCAATTTATTTTCATGTTCATTTGTATTGTACCACAATAGCCGTAATTATTACTATAATATTACTACTTAAATTAATGTTGTTGTAAGCTATTATCATTACTGTCTGTCCTGCATCTCTCTCTGTCTCTGTCTCTCTTTATGTATCATTTTGTCACATGGAATACTGTTAATTTATTATGTTGATCTGTTCTATACAACATCCATTGCATGTCTGTCCGTCCTGGAAGAGGGATCCCTCTTTAGTTGCTCTTCCTGAGGTTTCTACCATTTTTTTCCCCATTAAAGGTTTTTTTGGGGAGTTTTTCCTTATCTGCTGTGAGGGTCCAAAGGACAAAGGGATGTCATATGCTGTAAAGCCCTGTGAGGCAAATTGTGATTTGTGATTTTGGGCTTTATAAATAAAACTGAATTGAATTGAATTTTCAGGTGGATGGCTTTCCTATAAAAATATGCTGTGGTTCTTTTCCCTCCTCATTTTTGGTCATTACTCTACTCCTCTTGATTATTCAAGCCATTCAAGTTTCAAGAAGGTCCTCTAAAGTTACTATACAATGTAACAGTAGTTCAATGTGTCAGCAATAGGAACATATGAACAGATTAAGAAACAGTGCAGTCTAATCAGATCATCGAGTCCAAGTGAATGTTGGTGGCACATTTGAAAAAATTCTCTCAGGGCATTCTTGAGATAGTCACAGTCACGAGAATGGGACAGACTGACGTATGTATAGACAGAAGTATGTACGGATGTATGGACATATGGACGGACAAATGGATGGATGGACAAACAGAAAGACAACCCGACAGACAACATGGCTATCGCCAGCACGAAGGCATAAAAAAGTATTTCCTTGTATGACTAATAGGGCATGTTACATGGTATTTTACTTTGTTGGCTTTGACTGATCAATTACAGTTCGTAAAAATTCTGAATAAGATCTCTTAAAATGGTGTGTGAGCTTCAGGTAATACTGAATGGTGCATAGAATATTAAAATCTTTACCTAACTAAATAACTAACCACTGATATTGAATTTATAATTATGATTCAATTTGCATTTATGATGCTTTCAAATTCATGATGCCTCAATAGAGAGAAAGGCTGACTTTACTTGAGGGGTCACAAAGATGACTTATGCATAAGCAACAAATAATTATTACAAGTGATTTCACAATTATGCCATTACTCATATGTTATTTATCAGTGAAGGAGGACCAGGTCACCACTTTATTTGAAGGGCCACAAACATGATGAGGCCATGAAAAATAAATGCTTTGTTAGCCATGACTACAACACTTGGAATTCAACAGAATTCATGTGCACTGCTGTGATTGGTCAGTTTTTTTGCCTGTCTCTTTAGCTGCAGGCTGAACTATGAAGAAGGTCTCTAGGTTTTATATTGAAACAGATTGGTTTCAAAATAAGAAATTAAGTGTGTGTCTTACCTGTACAGAGGTCACACTGGAGCCAATCCAACTGTTTCACTCTCACATTACCACCTGATCATAGAAAAAAAAAAAGACAGTACAAAAGGAGACTAAATTCCTACATATTATTTCTGGTCTAAGGTAAAGGTAAAGGTAAAGTTCCACTGATTGTCACACACCTGAATGTGTGAAATTTGTTCTCCGCATTTGACCCATCCCCTGAGGGAGCGGTGAGCAGCAGCGGTGCCGCGCTCGGGAATCATGTGGTGATCTAACCCCCCAATTCCAACCCCTGATGCTGAGTGCCAAGCAGGGAGGCAATGGGTCCCATTTTTATAGTCTTTGGTATGACCCGGCCGGGGATCGAACCCACGACCTCCCAGTCTCAGGGCGGACACTCTACCACAAGGCCACTGAGCTGGTCCAAAATATCTGTACACATGAACAACTCTCTCCCAAATCCCAAAACTGAAGTGCTAAAACTCAAATTGTTTCCAAGTACAACTTTCAAAGCACTAAAGATTATCCAATATCTTTCTAATTTTTGCTTGTTCCTTCATACTGGACAGGTCTCTAAACAGCATATGCAGCATAATACGGTTGTCAAATGATTGCCAAATTGGTTCAAAAGATTGTGACAGTTATATGTAAATAAGACAAATATCAATTGCAATGCTTTTTCAACGTAGCGCAGTCATGTGTGTTACCAAGCTGACACTTTGTTGAACCATAGTATAAATAACTGTTTTTATTGTATTTCATCAGAGGTAATAGGTATTCTTCTTGAAAGGGTAGAAAAAATAGAAATAAAACACATAGATAAGCAATCAGTTTATTATGCAATTAAATGCATTTCTTCACTACTGCGAAATAAATAAACAGAATAAAAATGTTCCTCTAACAAGTAGACAGTTAAATAGTTAAATATGCAATAGAAATAAAAAACTTCAATTGTTGTATCAACTGTGTCAAACTCATTTCTTGCTTAACAAAAGTGTTCTTTTATTTTGTGTCATTTGGATCCTTGACTACCTACCTACCTACCTACCTACCTACCTACCTACTATAGGCAGACCCCAGGTGGTGAGAGTGGGCAGACAAGGGAGACAGTAAAGTCCTGGTGTCGGGACAAAAACCTACTCGTGAACATCAGCAAAAGTAAGGAAATGAATCTGATAGTGGACTTTGGGAAGACGCAGCCAAGGAACTATGCCCCCTCCTCAATACCAATGAGCCTCGGTAGAGATAGTTTTGAATACCTTGGTGTCCACATCATTGAGAGCCTGACCTGGGCATACTGACGCATACTGACTAGGTGGTGAGGGAGGCAAGGCAGAAACTGTTTCACCTCAGAGGCCTGAAAAAATTCTGGCAAACTTGTCAAATACTGAGGAATATCTACTCACTACACATGCTAAGAGGCAGAACCCCCACAAAGCAGCTAGGCCAGACTCTGTCTCTCCGGGCACCTTGAAGCACTGCCCCTACCTGCTGTCTCCGGTGTTCACCCACATCTTCAACACCTCACTGGAGACATGCCATGTGCCAGCCTGCTTCAAGACCTCCACCATCATTCCCCTCCCCAAAAAGCCAAAGACCACAGGACTTAATGACTACAGACCCATTGCCCTGACCTCTGTGGTAATGAAGTCCTTTGAGCGTCTTGTGCTGTCACACCTCAAGGCCATCACCGACCCTCTCCTGGACCCTCTGCAGTTCGCCTACAGAGCCAACAGGTCTGTAGACGATGCTGTCAACATGGCTCTCCACTTCACCCTCCAGCATCTGGACTCCCCAGGAATCTATGCCAGGATCCTGTTTGTGGACTTCAGCTCTGCCTTCAATACAATCATCGTGACTCTGCCACAGGACAAGCTCTCCCAGCTACTCCCAGTTCAGGGACAACACCCTCATTGGACTCATCTCTGACGGGGATGAGTCCTCCTACAAGTGGGAGATTGACCAGCTGGTGAAATGGTGCAGGCTGAACAACCTGGAGCTTAACACACTTAAGACAGTGGAGATGGTTGTAGACTTCAGGAAGAACCCAGCCCCTCCCACCCCCATCACCCTGTATGACTCCCCTGTCGACACTGTGGAGTCATTCCGCTTCCTGGGGACCACCATCACCCAGGACCTTAAGTGGGAGCTGAACATCAGCAAGATGGCACATCAGAGGATGTACTTCCTGTGGCAGCTGAACAAGTTCAACCTGCCAAAGACAATGATGGGGCACTTCTACACTGCCATCATTGAGTCCATCCTCACCTCCTCCATCACCATCTGGTACACTGCTGCCACTGCCAAGCACAAAAGCAGACTGCAGCGTATCATTCGCTCCACCGAGAAGGTGACTGGCTGCAATCTGCCCTCCCTCCAGGACCTGTACGCCTCCAGGACTCTGAGGCGTGCAGGAAAGATTGTGGCTGATCCCTCCCACCCTGGACACTCTTTGAGACTCTCACCTCTGGCAGGAGGTTGCGGTCCATCAGGACCAAAACCTCACGCCACAAATGCAGTTTCTTTCCATCTGCAGCTGGCCTCATCAACAAGACCAGAGACCCCCACCTACTCTGCCCCCCAACCCCCCTATAACCAGCACACAGTCAGACATGTCTTCATCATCTTGGTCATTCACCTGTCATACACTGCATACAGTTAAACTTGCACAGCCGTACTTTGCACAACTGTTATTTGCACAGTTGGGCACCCTATTCATGTTTACAGTGTACATATTTTTAATATTACTATTATTATTGTTATTTACACTCAGATTTTATATCTAATTGTTAATAGTATTTCCTTTTTATACTTTTACTCTATGTTTTTATATATTTTATATTCTTTGTTATGCGCCAATACACCAAGCCAAATTCCTTGTATGTGAAAACCTACTTGGCAATAAAACCGATTCTGATTCTGATTCTAATTCAGATTCAGATTCAGATTCTGCTACTGCCTGGTATAGAAACAGCCAGGGGTGGACTGGGACAAAAGTTGTCCCCAGCATTTTGGCCCAGACGGGCCCACCACAATCGATCAAACAAATATAAGTCATATATATATTATATGATACAAAGGTGCAGGTTTCTTTCAACATTTGAGGGAACGCATATTAAAGAGGGGTTCTGGGGCTCTTTGTTAAGCATCAAGCACTTAATTTTCTGCATTCTGGTAAATTTTTATGCACCAATTTGTGCCTTGTTGGAAATGTGCAGCCAGCAAGTTGCTAAAATGGTGTGAAATGTCCAGGTTTAAAGTATTTTTGACCTGCTATTTCTCTGTGCCTCCCTTGTGTTTTGTGTTATCCATTTTGGTACATTTTTTGTGGCAGATGCTGTTTAATGAAGGCGCTGACCCCAAAAAGCACCTCAGCCCTGTAAGGCCCTGTAAGGCAGATGGCCAGCCCACCCCTGGAAACAGCATTGAAACAGGACCGCAAGGCCCTGCACAGAGTGGTTTGTTCAGCTGAACACACTATAGGCTCTGCTCTACCCTGCATAAAGGATGTTTACACCTGACGCTGCAAAAATGAGGCCATGAGAATCATTGAAGATCCCAACCACTCAGATAACTGCCTTTTCTCACTGTTGAGGTTTGGAAGAAGGTACTGGTTACACCAGGCAGCACTGAGAGGCTCAGGAGGAGTCTCTACCTTCAAGCCACAAGGTTCCTTCATGAGGTCACTGCCTAAGACTGCCCAGTCTGATATTATATAACTATTAAAGTCTTTTTAAATGCACAAATTGAAGGAACTGACAAGATCACATTTTAATGAAATTCTATTTTATGTAATCACAAGACATATTGATTGATTGACTACCCTACTACCCCTACCAAATTCTACATGTACACTCTTGATTTTAGTGGAAATTGGAAATAATTGAGAAGGTAATAAGCAAAAAGAAAGAGTAATCTGACAATGTTACCTTACCTGCAGGCTCCATCATGTGTCTATTTAATGTCACATTTTTCTTGCACATGCTTAAAAGGTCTTCTCCCACATCTGTAAAACAAAATAACACACAAATTAGCAATGGAACTCAATGGTAAGACAAGAGGTGTCAGTTATTTTCTGAACTTCAGGATGCTCTATCACAGCTGTCTAAATGCCCTGCAAAGAGTAGAGGAGCAGACTTGAATTTTCAAGAGCTGCTATTCAGGTCCTCATGTCTCCACTGTCCAAAGCAACTGTCTGTATTTTTACTATGCAGTTATTCCCTTCCCCTTTGTTATGACGGTATAATGTGTAGCACTCATTATTTTAACATGTTCTAAAATAGTATAATATAGATTTTTGGACATAATGGTGCTAGCTATACAGCTACATGGTATAACCTACTCTACAGATATGCAATAAATGAAAGCTACTACTGTCTACACATTAGGGCTGCCACGATTAGTCGACTAATCGATGACTAATTGACTATCAAAATAATCGGTGACTATTTTAGTAGTTGACTAATCGGTTTGAGTCATTTTTCATAGAAAAGTACTATAAAAGTACCCTAAAATACTCCTATTGCAGCTTCTTATGTTCAAATATTGGCAGCTTCACACACTCTCCCATGACGGTGAACTAAAACCCTTTGGTGTGAGTACGAAAAAAGACATTAGATGACATAATTTTGGGGTTTGGAAGAGACAGACCAACATTTTTCAACATTTTAACACATTTTTTCGATAAAATGCTGAGTCGACTATTCGAAGAAATAATCGACAGATTAGTCGACAATGAAAATAATCGTTAGTTGCAGCCCTACTACACATGTAGCACAACATAAATTACTGACACTTCGCTCAGACTTCACGTGGGTAACAAACACATTAACGTTAGTTGAAGACGCCAGTGAGCCGTGTTCTGCTGAGGTTAGGCAACACCACTTGGACATACCAAACACAGAACTGCAGTACACCACAAAACTAGAACTTGTAATAATAATAATATTGGCATTTGTTAAGGTTATTTATGACTTTGATTACATTTAGTAATGATTATTTCGGACAGCAGTGCATGGTTACCTGTCATAAAATAGCATTTTTTAAATTTTATTTTTTTTTTATCAGTATACTGTTTTGCATATTTCAATACTGGGGGTGGGGGGTATATATTATAGTTACTGCCTTGGTCAGCAGTGATGTTTCCTGTCCCTTTGCTGACTCAGGACATGTAGAAGTCCTGAACTGTGAGCAGGTCAGCACAGATTATCTTTTCTGCAGTCCTGAATTCACCCCATGAGCTGAGCTGAGTTTGGAGTGGAGGCCTTCTGGAATGATGGTGTTGAATGCCAAAGCAAAGTCCACATGCATTTTTCCCTGGGGAGTCGAGGAATTGCAGGATGTACTGCAGTCCTACGTTGACTGCATCAGCCACTGACCTGTTTGCCTGGTAGGCAAACTACAGAGTCTCTTGAATGATTTCATGACCACAGACAAGTCCTGTGGCCCTTAAGGAGTGGGATGATTGTGAACACTCCATCCAGATTAAAACTGCATTTTCCAAAAACTCCACTCCAGCGCATATAAATCTTAAAACGTCTGCTTAGTGTTGTTTCAGTGTGTATGGGGTAAGTGGATCTTTCAAAAGTGATAATGTAAACCAGCCCAGTAAGGGTCAGGTGCTGTGTGCCTGTGTAAAGCTGCAATGAAAGATTTCGGTGTCTTTTGATATATTGTAGCCGTGGCTCTGTGTGTTTTTATGGTAGAATACTGAATATGCTGTCTGTATTTGGTCAGCTTGAGGCTGTTTAAATTCCCAAGAATCATAAGATGGGGAATGTACTTGCTCAATCTGGTAATGCCAATGTCCACCTTTTGGACTTGCAGACTGAGTCCTCGTGGACTTCAGTTGTACGTAGTGTGACGTATATACGGTCATTACGTAAAGTGTGTGAGGGCAGTGACTGCAAGCGGCTGATGGATAGCCCTCAAGACTGTTTTACTCGTTGCCGTGGAAATGTTCAACTATCGCTGCTGTCATATTTACATATATGTCATATAAGCTGATGAATAGTGTCTACCAGGCCTGGAATTTTGTCATTTAAGGGGCAAGACCACTTGGCCTTTCGTGTTGTCAATTTTTTGAGGGCACAAAGGCCAAAAGCCAGGGCAGCAAGGCCATAAAATAAAACAATGATTTTAAGTCCACGTTCATAATGAATTTAATTTAAGGACTAAGGATGTATAACTATCTGTGAAATGAATAAATAAAACAAGCTCATGTAATAATAATGAGTATAATAAGTAATAATGTGATTTATTTAATAGTACTAATAAACCCAATGTGTCTTAAATACAGAACAACCAGGTTCATGTATTTATAAGCAAACAATCTTAAATATAAGGCCTAAATATTTTTTGAGTGTACATGATAAACTGATTCACTGAACAAGACTGGCTTACAATTATTTTTGATGTGTTGTTAGATAGCTAACAAACAAACAAACTACAGCAGGGCTATTCAGTTACTATTTCAACTGGGCTGCATTTCAAAACCAGATAATGTAGATGGTCCACATTTTTAGCAGCGAGCAACCGATCCACTTTTTTTTTTTTTTNAACAGACTAAAAGAGAGCTATCAATGCACAGAAGCATAATAAATAATAAGTGACATTAACAGTATCTAACAACACACACTATCTCTCTACCAGCATCTCCCTCTCTCCCTCTCCTCCACACACACACATGCACACATCTCACCTCCTGATGCTTTCCTTATAGGTCGGTTACACAGGATATAGTTTTATACAGTCCATGGCAGCAACAGTCATGTTTACAACAACAGTCACTATTTAAAACCCAGTAATATCTCACTGGAATATAAATATTCCTCCTGACATCACAATACTGAGTGAAGAAAGTCACGTTATCTCAGCATGAAGACAAACATCAGTATCAGTCATTCATCCTGCTCTCTGTCCCCCCTCTACTGAGGACACTCACTGTCTGCAGGTCGGCTGCCTCAGGTACATCTTCAGATAAAGTGTTAGCCTACATACAGACAGCTTTCATTTTAGTTTGTCTTAAATACTTTGCTGTTAGCACCGCGAGCGCCACGTGCTTGTGTCGACCGCGATCATAAATCATAATAGCGGTGAATAAGAGACTGCGGACAACGCAGATTGAAATATGGCTTTCTACATGCTGATCACATGTATTGATAGAGTATTGGCTTGGCTGGCAGAGGTTTTATTGCACTTACTCACAGTAACAAGTGTAGTTGTCGTTAACTAGAGTAATCTTGAAGTTATATTCCCTTCATCTGCACTGCGGCCTCTCTGCTGTTGAGTTTGTGTGTGTGTGTGTCTAGGGGCGAAAATCCCATTTCATAGTTGGGAGGGACAATAAACAGTAAAATTTTAGAGTTTATATTATCAGCCTGGACCTGGAGCTTGTTGTAACAGTAAATGGGATGTGTTGTAACTTGTGTAAGTTAAACTGTATCTGTGTGAGTGTACATCTTACCCGGCGATGCGCAATGTGGGCAGCCAGGTCCAGCCACACAGCTACTGCTGCCAAGCAGCCCCGCCCGTTGGAAAGAGTATGGAATATACCACTACTAGGAATGGGAGGGGGGGACTAAATCTTTTAAGATTTAAATAGCACATTATTGCGTGATTATAACGAGCACCGCTTACATTGTGCTTTTAATAAATACTACTGCATTGTTCAAAAATTATTAATTGTGTCTCAAATTATTCTAGGGGGGTACAGCTTTACTGAAGGGGGAGTCATGCCCCCCCTGTCCCCCCCGGGATTTCCACCCCTGTGTGTGTGTGTGTGTGTGTGTGTGTGTGCGCGCGCACTGTGAGGGGTGACATGCAGAGAGCAGGAAAGAGGCTGCAGAATGATGATGAAACCGAAACTTTAAAAAGTAACGCCAATAATGGTGGAGCTTACTATTATTACGGTCTTCATTAAACTTGCCTTGGGTTGTTTAACACCGGGTCTCGGTACCGATCCCTGCCCGGGCGTTTGATGAAGTCTCCTGGTTGGCCGGTGATAGACTGGGGTCAAACTGTCGTTACAGCCCATCCGAGCGGTTCATGCCAGGCTCGAATCAAACCCACCACTGGTGATGTACGCATCGTCTCATTTGATGTTGCCCAATAAGAATTCAGATTGTCATGGCATTATTTTTTTCTCAAAAGACGCAGGTGTCGTGCCGTGTTGACAGGAAAGAGGCAGGGGAGAAAATCGCAAAATCACCTGGGGCAGTGCGGGCGGGGCATCAAGGCCACTGTGGCCTTAGGGCAGATATTTTTTCAAGGGCACAGGGCCAAATTGGGAGGGCACGAGAGCCATGGCCCTCGTGGCCCTCGTGATATTCCTGCCCTGGTGTCTACTGATCTGTTCCTGCAGATAACAAGATATAAATTCCATGTATAGGCTGCAATAATAAATTGCATTTTCAGTCCCTCTACTGCTTATACTTATACATATTTCTGTATCATGATGTGGTTGAATATTATTTCTGGCCTACACAATTCAAGTAGGATTTTAATTGACCGAACTATCAATAACCATTTTACACATTTATACGTTTTTTTTTTCTGCAGCTGAAATGCAAATGTATTGCAATGAATTGTGGGTTATTAAATCAGTGAAGTCTGCTGAAGTCTGCACCCCAAGGGGACTCTCCGGGAAGTCTGCAGAAAGTCCACTTGAGGTCCCTTGTGGACTGGATGAATTTTAGATTTGGAAAGCCCTAAGCACTCCCAGACTTCCCAGGAATGTGCCCACAAAGTTCATGAGCCTGCAAGTGCGGTGAAGTGAGGAAACTGGTGTTCAGACGGACAGTTTCGCGGCAGATTCCAGCAGCTTTCAGTCCATATAGGAAGTCACAGAAACACAATATGATGATGATGTCCGATATGATGTTGATTCATTAAAATATGATCAGACTCATATATCAGTTTGTTCTCAGTCTCAAATTGTTTTATTCATGATAGATTGATTTATTAAAATGCTTAACAGGCTTTCTGTAATTTATGTTCATGGTTCAACCTTAATTTTACATGAATTCTCATGTAAATCAGCATCATATCACTTTGCTGCTGCAGAGCAGACCTATCTCCTCTACTACAAAGGCTAAATAAATTGTGTCTGACTATAAGGTTAATATTTTCAGAGGAGAAAAATACACGACAACAGCTTTCATTAAGCTCACTTTCACTAAGATGGTTTAAATCTTATTTATCTGATCGTTTTCAGTTTGTTGACGTTCATAATGAATCATCCTTACGTCCTAAAGTTTGTTTTGGAGTTCCGCAAGGTTCTGTGCTCGGACCAATCCTATTTACTCTATATATGCTCCCTTTAGGTAACATCATTAGAAATCACTCTATAAATTTCCACTGTTATGCAGATGATACACAGTTGTATTTATCGATGAAGCCAGAAGAAACTAATCAATTAACTAAACTCCATAACTGCCTTAAAGACATAAAAACTTGGATGAGCACCAATTTCCTGATGTTAAGTTCAGACAAAACTGAAGTTATTGTTCTTGGCCCCAAACAACTCAGAGACTCTGTATCTGATGACATAGTTTCTCTAGATGGCATTGCTCTGGCCTCTAGCACTACCGTAAGAAACATCGGAGTAATATTTGATCAAGATTTGTCTTTTAATTCTCATTTAAAACAAACCTCACGGACTGCATTTTTTCATCTGCGTAATATTGCGAAAATTAGGCCTATCCTGACCCGAAAAGATGCAGAAAAATTGGTCCACGCTTTTGTTACCTCAAGGCTGGATTACTGTAACTCTCTATTATCAGGTAGCTCTAGTAAGTCCTTAAAAACTCTCCAGCTAATTCAGAATGCAGCAGCACGTGTACTAACAGGAACTAAGAAACGAGATCATATTTCTCCTGTTTTAGCTTCTCTGCACTGGCTCCCTGTAAAATCCAGAA